TTGACCCGGATTAGTACCGGGGATTAGTGTGGAACCTTGATTCGGACTCCCTCGTCTGATCTCCTGGGAGTGGAAGAAACCTGTGGAGAGTCGGGGGCGGCCCCCGTGATCTACACTCCGACGCCCAAGTTAGAATAGGATATATGATAGAGTGTAGAGAGAAATGTAGAGAGAGATAGGGTTTAGAGAGAGAACCATAAGTGGTGAAATGAGGGAAGGGAGAGAAGTCCCTTTGCTTGGAGGGTCTGGCCTCTTTATATAGGAGTCGGAGGCATCCTGTGGACGCCTCCCGTTGTCATGGACGCCCCCGGTATACTGGTCGCCTCCCGTCGATGGACGCCTTCCGGTGAATGGTCGCCTCCCGGTGGTGGACACCCCCGGGTAGGCTGGACGCCTCCCGGTGATGGACGCCCTCCGGATGGACTGGACGCCTCCCGGTGTACTGGACCCTCGAATGGGCTCGGGTCCAAGGTGAGACGCTTTGTGGTGGGCTTGGGCCCGTATTAGGCGGGTTAATACTAGACCCAACAATATTGTCTCACCCTTCTTCAGCACTTGACGAGGTAATCTTAATTCAAATTATTATGGTGGATATAATTGAAGTGTTGCTTTAGCCAAAACAAAATAATTTCTCGTGTTTTGATTTTTCAGTTTGTGATCTACCACTGAGATGGAAATTGGATTCTTAACCAACACATAGTTTTACTTCTACTTATGCTACTTTGATTGGTACACATAGTAGTTGCAGTGGCATCCACCTGAGAATGAAGTGGCTCCGACGAATCATATACGGTTGTGTTTGGTTAGTTTTGCAAAGAGCCTGGTTATGTTTGATTGGCTGCTAAATGTAGGCCTCATGAGTTGCCTGGCTTATTGAATCAATTTAGTATGATTTAATTATTCTATGTTGGGTATTATGGTGTAATGGTTTGTCAATTTTTGAATGCTACAGGTTGTTGGTTCAAGTGTAAAGCGTAGTACTCAATTTCAAGGCCTGTTGCATCAGATTCCAGAACATGCTGTGTCATTCATTCCTACTAAAGAATTATGTATCCTTGCGAACAATAAAGTCCAAGTACTCTCTCCCTCATTCTCCAATTTATTCTTCTATTGTTTCTGTTATGTTGATGGAATCATGGCAGTGATTGTGGTGGTGGGTGTTGATTTCTCGGTGATGCTTTTTTATTCCTAGAGCTGTGTCTTTGCAATCTTCTCGGTGGTGCTTTTTTATTGCAGTCTTCCTCAGTTGGTATTACTGGTACAATAAAAGGAGGTATCTTGATAATGGATTTGAAATGATTAGTATAAGCTGAATCATAGGTGAGGGATCACTACATAAGCTTTTAGCATTGTCACTTAAGTGGTTACTCACTTAGTCAAGTCGTAATGAAAATGAAATTCGACAGCATGATACTTGGGTGAGAAGACCATCCCCAAAATGTGACCTAGGCTCGGGAAGTTTGAGGGAATGACTATTAAAACTGATTGTTAGATAAGTGGGAAGAGTTTGTTGTGGTATGGTTTCGAGATGTAGTACAGGGAGAAGCGGAATAATGCCAATTACTTGAGAAGTTTATTGAAATACATATCATAGTAATGTGGTGGTGATGTCAAGAGCAGGTTAAGATGTATCATTCGGGTAAACAACAAATTCGAAATTTAGTTTTCCTATTTCCATTATTCTTTAGTTTATTATTTTTTCAATTTTTGGACCCATCGGTGGTGTGGTTGACTGACAACAAATTGTAGTCGTCAGGCTCTGCCTGGCCAGCTGAAATGATTTCTTATATGAAGAATTTCTATGTTGGACATGGTTTAATTGTTAGTCAGTTGTTGCTTTGAAAACATTGAGTTGTCTTTGGTGTTGTTGCGGGACTGGGAATACATTAGGATGAGATAGCAGACTGCTGTAGGTGGAAAAGTATAGAGTCCACACTGGTGCTTGACTGTTGTGGTAGTGCTGGAAGTTGAACATGGTTATTGTCGCCTACCACGTATGGAGGTAAACGTCGTCACATTTTTTACTGCTCAGAGAAGAAGGGTCACATAGTCTTTATATGTATTTCGGATTGCTATCTACTGAGTTTTTGCCTGTTAAGAAAATGATTCTCGATTGATGAATAGTGTAGTGGATCTCCTCCTTTCGGGTAGTCGGGAGGGGTTTTGACATCGAGTTTTTGATTGGGGTATCAATCCATACCATGTTTGGCAATTGTGTGTTTATTATGCAGTCCAAAGAAATACTACTGGATGAAAGAGGTTGTATTGGCTGCACTCCAAATTGATACGGTTAAATGAAACCCGGAAGTAGCTGAGGGAAGAGCTATTCTCTTTGGTCTGAATAAAGCAATGAAAAGGGGATATTGTATCCTTTGAGGCATGTGCCGACTGATTTCCTTTCAATGAAGGCTTTTGTTGTTTCCTCCATAGAAGAAAGAAGTGGTCATGCAGGACAATCAATCAAAATCTTTGGTTTGGGGTTTACCGATTAATGCTTTTCTAATATATTATTATGTGAAGGAATTTGATACTCTTGCCACTATTTGCTGCAAAGTAATCTTGATTTCTGACTGACTATTATTTTTGCATATGGTTTTATAGTACGAGAAACTTCATTTGGATTGCTTTGTATATATAATGGTTGTATCTTTGTTGATTCCATAAATTTTAGGTCTCCTTATTGTTATTATTGACGTTTTAATGTTGAATTTTAGGTATAGTAATATTGGATTATCAAACAGATGTTACTTACGAGTAGCTGAAAATCGCAGGCATAGGAGTAGAGTTGCAAAACCTTCCTCGGCATGGATATATGGTGGGTATATAGGTAGAATATTTGAAGATGAGGATGTGATAATTTGCTCCAAGCCCGCTTATTACCATCTCTAATTCAGTTGAAGGTTTAATGGTTATAACAAAACATGGGACTGAAATATGTAAATGGTTTCACTAATAAAATTGGTGTTTGTTTAAATGTATTGTTCTCCGACGTCTTTGGTAGTTCGTTTGGGTTAATATATTTCTTTGACTTTATTTATGATTGTGATGAATTGAGTCTGTGAAGTAGTGGTTTATATTTTGGTACGGGAAGTTGAATGAACTATCATGTGTTTGATGAACTTTATTTTGAGTTTCATCCTTTAAATATATGATGGTTTGTATCTCCTATGGAATATGATGTTGAATCAATATTGAGGTTGTGCATGCTATTCTTAATGTTACGCAACAAGTAATCGTATGTTTGGATATTTTACATATTTGTCATCATAATAGTCTTGAACTATCCTCATAAGTTAATGTCAACTTTTAGGACTGCATTTTTTTTTTTTGGATAAAGATATTAGTTACCAATCAATTGTCATCTAATAATTTATACTTTCTTAATGATACAATTTTAGATGATTGTTGATAACAAAGTTTGAACCCAGTATGTGATTAATTTTAATCCTTCCAGATTACCACTTTAGTGAATAATTATTTGAGTTTTGTTAGAAAATCATATAACTGCAAGTAAATAATTATGAATCTTATGAAGAAATATTTTTTCAATAATTTACGCTGACAATAAGAAGTGCACAAATTTCTTCTAAAATATGAAAATATATACAACATATGAAATACTCGCATAAAAGTGTTTCAACACCAAACTCCCACCGCCAGTAGTGTTTCCGTTAACAATTTATAAATTACTAATATGTTGCTATGCAAGATTTTCACTTCCATCATACAATGGAAATCAGTTAAGGCATGAGCAAGGTGAGATTTCATTTAGATGAGTGACCTATTACCTTTTTAAATACCGTAGTTGGGGTACCTAATCAACAAAAATATCTATGAATTAATTACCACTGATGACACAAATAACACAAAATAACTTCCAAATTATGTATAAACTACTTCGACGATTCTAAATCATTTGAAAGCATCGATCATTTAACATTAATAATAAAAACAAAATTTATCTGACCAACGGTCGGGTACAAGCTAGTACATTATTATCGGCCGAACATAAATAAATAAATAATCGAAGTGTTACAAAAAAATAGTTCAAAGGTCAATTATCATTTCTTAAATCAATAATTAATTTAATTAATATAAAAAAAAATCAAAATGGAAAATCCACTACTCCCTCTCTCTCCGCCCCATATGAAAGCTAGGGTAATTATCATAAACAAAGAACAAGTAGTTCCGTAATATAACTAATTAATAATAGACAAGTCATAAATTATTACTACTAGGACTCCAAATGAGCTAAACTGCTCACCAGCAACTCGATGTTCAATTTGAGAAAAGCTCATTTATAACTTGGCTCGTTAGTAAACGATCCCAACCTGTGCTCACCCTTGTTCGGTTCACGAGGCCCGTGAGCTAGTTCGATTGAGTGGCTCATAAACATGAGATCAATTAGTGATGAAATTTTACTATCATTCTTTTTCCATTAACAACATGTATTATATATGACATAAAAATATTACAATATTCAAGTTATATGTTATTTAGAGTTTAATTTAAGGGTCAACTATTTAGACTTATAAAGACAAAATTCAATCCAGCTCGACTCGATAAGTAACCAACCCAACTCGACTGGTCCTGCGGTGATCACTAGCCATGCCAATTTTTTGTGTTTCCATTTTAATTTGTCTTTTCTCAGTTAACAACTACAAGCATGCTTATACTACTTTTTTCGGGAGAGGAAATCTTTATGGTCAACAGGCTAAACTACCTGTCTATCTCAATTAACAACTACAAGCTATGCTCTTCGTGAACTAATCCCAGCTTCGAATAAATCTTTATGGTCAACGGGCTAAACTATGTGTTATTTACTTTTTTCACATTTTATTATTCTCTACAAAATGGAAATGATTTGTGAAGTTCAATTTTTTCATGCAAACCACCCTTAGCCATTAGATATATGTTCGTGCAACGCAGACACATCCATCTTGACAAAGATTTGGAAGATAAAGTCTACTTTGAGAAGTAACAACAAACAAAATATCAAAGCCAAACAAAAAAAAAAACCATAACCCTTCTTCATTTCTCCAAAAATTAAACGAGCACCAAATTTCAAAAAAAGTCAGAAGGAAGATGAACCACAGGGATGACGAGTAAGAGCTACATATCATCAGGCTCGTCGGTCGAAAGAGTGATGACCATGAAACCTTCAAAGAGTGTGAAGCTAAGAAGTGTCAGCCTGCTCTTTCCAAACATATCTGACCTCTGCTTCAGTGGAAGCACGCTTATATCGTGTCACCTCCATCAAGACTTTGACATCCTTTCGGAGGTCCGAATTCACTTCCGGATAGATGAAAAGCGTCCGAAGTTGTGGGGCAGAAGTTAGCGCAAGCCTCACAAGGTCCAACTCAATCAGTGTACCCGTAAATCCATGGATGGCAAACTCTTCAAGGCACTGAAAACAACTCGCAGGAGGAACGCACTCTGCTTCCAACAGCAACTGTAAGCTGTCAATTAACTCTGTTGGCGGAAGGGAGGAAGGGGCATCACAGAGCTACAACAGTATTCATCAACAAGAAGGAGTTATAGCTATAGATCTATCAGCGATTCCGACATGCTGTGTAACTAAAACATTTCACTTCACAAGAGATTTAAACCCATTACCAGAATGTACAGCCTCTGCAAGTTGGGGGAACTCCTGATTAGACAAAGAAGCAGGCGTGCTTCCGATGAATGATACAGTACGATTTGGTTTTCGAGGGATTTCAGTTGGCAAAGACGTGTAGGAAGCATGACGGGGAAATTACCTGAGGCAAGGAACTAGAGAGAGCAAAACATAAGACATGTTACATATATACCATATATGGAGCAACATTATGAAATGAAACCTTACTTTCATCCATTCTAGGCTAACAAATAACTTCTGGATTGCAGGGAGAGAAGCAAATACAGCAGCAACATCCGGATTATACGCACCAAAGTCGCTTCGTGCATAATCCTCAGGCTGTGTCTCGATTACTACCTCTGAAAGAAGGGGGGTATGCCTGAAGCAGATATTCCACACATTGGATTTGAACACCTCGAGCGATGGAGCTACTAGTTCAGCCTTCCCACGAGACTCCATCGCATTCGTGTCCCGGATAAAAAGTGTCAAGTGCTTGAGAAGAGGGCACTTGGGAAGGAAATCGTCATAAAAACCAGAGTCAGCATCCACGCTTTCTAACCAAAGATGGGTAAGCTTAGTGAATCCCAGAAACCAGGATGGTGCCCTAGAAAAATCACAATCCTTCAAAATCAGGGAGCTGAGTTCGCGAGCAGAGAACAAGGCAGAAGGCATCTCTCGCCAACTGCCGTCATCTTCATTATCAATAAAGATAAGGGCGACTTCCTGGACACCCTTCTTCGCGAGGAAGTGAACTATGTGGTTGATATCAGGACAGGGCCGCAGTCCAGGAATTTTAAGCATGAACTTGGTTACTGGTCCATCATGAACCAGCAGAGCTCTGTAGATCGCCAGCATTAGCGCATTCGCTTTGGAACCATAGTCCCCCTCTTCTGAGATTTCACCAAAATCGCTATCGAACACGAATCGAGTGTTTGATCGCCAGTTGTGCCGCCATTGTCTCGACAGTGTGGCTGTTTTGGCTGCATCTTTTACGGGCAAGAACGTGAGAATGAGCTGCATCACATCGCGGGGGAGTTTGATAATGCTATCGGCATTATGCTGGTCAGGCGCTTCCATTCTGGCTAGCTATGTGTTGCCCGCACTCAACTTCCGCAAAAAACGAAGAATGATGAACCCTACCTAATAAATAAAAAAATCCCCTTTTTCCGCAATAGACGTAGAATGATGAACCCTAATAAATAAATCCCCTTTCTTCTGGGAAAAAATCGTACACATGTTTTTAAAAAAAAATTCTCAAAATACACACGTTATGAAAATATTTCCCAATCTACGCATGTTTGGGCCTTCACCGCGTCTGACCAAGGCGGTGATTGAATCACCGCGTTAAAGAAGAGCGGTGATTGCATCACCGCGTTAGAGGAAAACGGTGATTGCATCACCGCAGTTAAGGAACGCGGTGATTGCATCACCGCGTTAGAGGAAAACGGTGAAGGCCTGACCTGCGTCAAATCTTTAAAAAAACGTAACTTTGTGCTCGGTTATCCGATCGTGATGAATTTTTTTTTGATTCCGCATAATTTTTCGAGATCTTGCAAGCCGCAAACCGCCTCCCGAAAAAACGTCGTTTGCTACCCCGAACGAGCCATTTTTCGATTTCGTCAAACTTTGAACGACCATAACTTTGTGCTCCACAATCTGAAAATCATGAATTTTTTTTGATTTTGCATAACTTTTTGAGGACTACAATTTTTAGTAGGAGAGAGTTTTCAAAAAATGGATTATTTTGGATATACGGGGTTTTGGGAATAAGTTTACCTTTCCTTTTTAGGAATCCAAGTACATTCCGAAATTATGTCTATGATAAAAATTGTAGTCCTCAAAAAGTTATGCAAAATCAAAAAAAATTTCATGATTTTCGGATTGTGCAGCACAAAGTTATGGTCGTTCAAAGTTTGACAAAATCGAAAAAAGGCTCGTTCGGGGTAGCAAACGACGTTTTTTCGGGACGAAGGCGGGACCAATTTGCCTATGGCGGTTTGCGGCTTGCAAGATCTCGAAAAATTATGCGGAATCAAAAAAAATTTCACCACGATCGGATAACCGAGCACAAAGTTACGTTTTTTTAAAGATTCGACGCAGGTCAGGCCTTCACCGCGGCCGTTGAATGCGGTGAAGCTATCACCGTTTTTGTCTGCAGCGGTGATGCAATCACCGTTTTTGTCTAACGCAGTGAAGCAATCACCGCTCTTCTTTAACGCGGTGAAGCAATCACCGCTTTAGTCTGACGCGGTGAAGGCCCAAACATGCGTAGATTGGGAATTTTTTTCATAACATGTGTATTTTGAGAATTTTTTTTAAAAACATGTATACAGTGGGATTTTTTCCCTTTCTTCTGTCTCCGCGCAATTCCTATGTTAACTTAATTAAATTACTTTCTGGCTCCTCCAACTTAGCTCTACTTCCTATCCAATACAGAGGCATGAGCTCGAAATTTTTCCGATCAACGCCCTGAAGTTATCCTTTTTGCTTTTTGAGGCCAGGGACCAGGGTTTACACTTAACGGTCAATATTGACGCTGAACGGGATGGGATACGGTGACAACTCTTTTAGGGGTTGTGAGATTCACAACTCACTTCCTAATCATTGGATACGCTTTCTCTCTTGTTTTTTTTTTAATTGATGATTAGGATTAAAAGAAGGTTATTTTTGAAAAGGAAAAATATTACCACACCCAATCATTCTCTCTCTCATATAAATAAAATAAAAACCCTAACTCCTCCCTCTCCCCCTCCTCTCTCTCTTCCCCTCCTCCCTCTCTCTAGACGGCACCACCGTCGGCCTCCACCACCGCTGCCGCCTCTCTCCACCCAACACTGTCGCCGCCGCCCTCCACATTCTGTCATCGTCCATAGCCCGCCGCCCTCCATAGCCGCCACCTCTCTCACCCTAGCCGAGCCCTCCACCGTTGCCGCAATCCTCCGACGCCCTCCACTCCCAATCGTTGCCATCTCTCTGCCGCCACCGTCGTGCCTAGTCTCCTTACCTCTTCCGTGCGAGTCCATATGCCTCTATGTGTCTCCTCTCCTCCTTTTAGTTTTTTAGATCTGTGATTTTTGGATTTTCAGATCTGGTTTTTTTCTAGTGGTACTGATTTTTTACTGGTATTGGTACTATATGGAGTGGTACCAAATGATAGTGGTACGCTACCACTACCAAGTACCAGATGGTAGTGGTACCAGTGGTAGTGGTATGTACCACTAACGTACTAACAGAGTGTTAATTTTTTACAGGTGGCCGGACCGAGTCGTATTCAATGATCTTGCCAGAGAAAGTCTTCCAGTCGGAGTGGAGTGGCTGTTTGAAAAGGATGAGAGAGATAGAAAGAGAGAGATAGGAAGAGAGAGTTGTATTTATTGTAGGATTCAAAATTTAAAAAAGCATGTATTTAATATGGGCTTTTAATTCTCAATCTGTAATTAATAAAAAAATAATTAATAAATTCGTTTTTTTTTTGTCATACCCAAAACGTCCTTGGATGTCAATCTCACAACCCCTTAGGGTTGTCACCATATCCCATCCCACGCTGAACTCAAAAGGTGGCCGAAATTATTTTGATTTTTTTTTTGTTCATTCTTGTTTCTCCAAAAGTTTGGGTTAGATTAGGTTTTGATTTGAAGCAATCTTGTCGGTACTGAATTGGAGTATCAACAGTATAGCGGGTAGTTCACACTTTACTGATTTACCGATATTAAGTCGTTAAAAAACAGGTACCTTATGAAAAAAATATTTTAAGTAGAACACACATAATAACACATTGCAGTCTAAAACGAGTGTCCAACATTGAGTTCATTACTCTTAAACAAATTTAAAATATGGATATTAAAGTTCTAAATTGGAAATCCTACATGAACCACATTGTTTTCAACATAAAAGCAATGAAACAAGAGTACCAAGACCAAAAGTATAACTTTCTTCCCTTTATACTTCAACTCCAAAATTCAAAATTCTACACATAGCTTATTTAGCATTGAATTTAGATGTATATATATAAATGTTTAGCAAATATTAGAAGTGCACTTACTTAATCTGTCCATTCAGTTAACCAAAATATATAATTAAAAAAATTAAAAATTAGAAGTTTTAAGTAGAGGTCGCAATTTGTGATCCAATACACCAATCTGATTCAATCCATCCACTTAAATATCCACCTAATCCACTCCATTTGATCCAAATCATTGGATTCATGGATTGATCCATGGATCCAAATGACAAATTACAAGTTAGTACCTATACTTTTAATATTTTACATTTTGGTACCTAAAATTTTATTTTTGTACGAAAAATATGATTGGAAAATTACGTTTTGATACCTAAAATGTTTTATTATGACATATTAGTACCTAAACTTTTCTAAATCAACATTTTGATCCAAGGCTTTGGATAAGGCTGTTAAGCTGTGCAGTTTTGGATTTACTGAACCGCAACTGTGGTTAACCGCCACTGTAAGAGGCCAGAATAGCCAACCGCAACCGCAACCGATTGTCCATTAGGTTAATCGAAACCGCTAACCGTGAGTGTTAGTTCGGTTGCTCGATTAACATTTACTCGAAAATTAATTAAAAAGAAAATGAGAATTAAAAAAAAAACTAATTTTAAACCCCCTCTTTCTCGATCCTTCTCCCCACCTCTGCTACCTCTCCCTCTCTCCAAAGACCCCTCATTCTCGATCCTTTCTCCCCATCTCTGCTACCTCTCCCTCTCTCCTAAGCAACAAAAAAAGTCCTCTCTCTATCCTCTCCATTCCCTATCTCTAGCTCTCTTTGTTCGAAAAAGTTAAACTACTAACAAGCTATTTTGTTAGTATATAGTATATACTAACACGGCCAAGATGATAACCACGTCGGCCCACATGTGATCCAAGGGAGGAGGGTTGCGGGCTTGTGGTGGCTCACTTAAGTGAGCTGATCTTGGGCTTGGACATGGAAGTCGGCCCAGCCGACGAAGCTGAAGAAGGTGGCGTTGGGTCCACCATGATTTAGGCGGGATTGTGAGAGGGAAGGAAAGTGGAGCTCGGTCCACCACTTTTCTTTCTCTCAACACTTTTTTTATGTTTCTCTCTTGTGGTTACAGTGAATATTTCTTTTGGTTATATCAAATTTTTATTGTTAAGTGGTCGGATATTAGGGTTTCAATAATAGGGTTAGAGTTTCAATATTCGGGTTTGGATTTTGGTTTAGGATTTAGTGTTTAGGATTTCGGTTTACTGTTTAGTCTGGGATGTATGAATATTTATTTTTGCATGAACTGATATTATATGCAATGGATATTGTGTCTTCTATCAAAACTAAACACATTATCAAGTCCTAAAACATAAGGCTTGCAGCATTGGTTAGGGCTACCCGCCGAGGGCCCATGGGTCGAAGGTCCATGAAACAATAATAGTAGGAGAGTGAGTGTCTTCCAGACCCTGGTGTCACTACCGGATGATTCATCTTTTAGGGTTTATGATTTAGTGATTGTTATTTAGGATTTAGTTATTAAGGTTTTAGTGTTAGGGTTTATTTTTTTAGGGTTAAGGGTTTAGTTTTTATGTTTAGTTATTAGTCTTATGGTCGGATATTAAACTGGGTGGTGTTTGTATTTGTTTTGAAATGAATGGAAATTAGTTTAGGTGATGCGGATATTAGCTTTGGTTTGAATTGATATTAGTTCGTGTTTTCTAATATTTGTATGAGACGTTTGGATATTTGTTTTCTCATTAACTGATATTAGTCTGTAGATATTAGTTCATTTGCCAATTTAATTACTTTTGTCACTATTTCCATGTGACACTTATTTGTCACTATTCTAATGAAGCACTTTTGGTAACTATTCCAATGTGATCCTTTGTTTATTTAAGCATCTAGCATCACACACTTGTGGAAATGGCCAGGGTTTCAGGTTTAGCGTTTAGAAGATGATATTGTGGAAATTGTTGTGAACACAATGTAGGGTGGTTTGATATTTGTCTGTGGTGATAAGATATTATTATATGATGCGAGAAGGTATTTTCGATATCCAATCTACGAGTACGACAATGATAAGAGCTGTGGTTTTTACTTGGATTGGGACGAAGCAATGTTCCCCATTTTCGAAGAGTCGGATGATGAAAATGACAACGAGGAGACCGTGAACAAATGAATTAGTA